TGCCCTCTTGGGGCTGCTGTGACTCTGCGACCTTGGAACCGTGGGCAGAGGGGGCTCCCCTGGTTTATTTATTTTCCCAGTAATTTTGTGTGAGCTACAGAAGACCCCATACCAAATAAACAAAAAATCTTTCCTTGGTCTTAGATTTTTATTTTTTAGGGAGCCAGATGCTTGGGTTCCTGAGGGGCGTGGCATCTAGGGTCTTAAACGAATGGGGTAGGCCCCAGAGGTCAGATGTCTGGGTCCCCAGTGGGGCAGAATCCATGGCTCTTGAGGAGGTGGGGGAAGGGTTCTATCTGGAACCCTCTTGGATGGCCTGGAGTGATGCTGGGAGATTTAGCTACTGGCCTGCTAGGGAGGAAGGAGTTAAGTGGCTCTTCTGTCACCTGAGCTGGGCATCAAATGGCCGGGTCCAGGTTCCTCTTGGAAGGGGCGGAGCCAGACCTGTCCTGGGCCTCTCCTGCAGCCTCAGGCCCCTGTGACTACAGCGTAGGAGCTCTGGGACACCCTTGTCTAGGGAAGAGGTCTTACTGGCTGCCCTCACCTGACTTTGTGTCCCCAGGCCCCCAGCCATGGCCCTGTCCCTGCCTCTGGGCCCTAGACTTGGCTCAGAGCCCTTCAGCCACCCCCCGGGAGCACCTAGGGAGCCGGACATTGTTGGATGCACCGTCTGCCCCGCATCCGGAGAGGAGAGCACGAGGTGGGGGCCTGGGCTTTGGAAGCTTGTTTCCAAGAGGGTAGGCGTGGTGGCAAGGGCCATATGAGGGTAGGAGGTGCCATGGCTGTGATCACCTGGGGACACAGGAGAGGCCGCCGGGGTTGGGGTGAGGGTAGGCTGAAAAGTGAGGTGTTGGGGTTGGGGTGAGGGTAGGCTGAAAAGTGAGGTGTCGAGACTCACCCAGTCACCGCCCCCTGCCTCCTAGCCCAGAGCAGGCCCAGACCCTGAGGCAGGACTCCTTGGACCCTCCTGAGCACTTCCAGGGTGGGCCAGGGGGCAATGAGCCTGCTGCTCAGCCCCCAAGATGGTCAACACCCTCTTCCTACAAGGACCCAGCTGGGGGCAAACACTGTGAGGTGAGCTGAGGTGACCCAGATCCCTTATGCCAGCCCTACCTCCTCTCTGTCCTCCAGAGTCTGGCCTCCACAGTGAGGACTGGATGATGATTCTGGAAAGGTGTTGGGTGTCTGTAGGGGGAGGGACCCTCTGGAAAAGTGTTTCAATATCTGACCAACCAGGGAGACGTATTTTCTTTTTTTTTTTTTTTTGAGATGGAGCCTCTCTGTTGCCTAGGCTGGAATGCAGTGGTGAGATCTCTGCTCACTGCAACCTCCGCCTCCCAGGTCCCACTGATTCTCCTGCCTCAGCCACCCAAGTAGCTGGGATTACAGGCGCATGCCACCGCACCTGGCTAATTTTTTGTATTTTTAGTAGAGATGGGGTTTCAACTTGTCGGCCAGGCTAGTCTCAAACTCCCGACCTCAGGTGATCCGCCCGCCTCAGCCTCCCAAAGTGCTGGGATTACAGGCGTGAGCCATCGTGCCCAGCCATATTTCTTTTTTATTAAAAAAAGAAAAAAAAAAAAATAGAGACGATGTCTCACCATGTTGCCCAGGCTGGTCTTGAACTCCTGATCCTCCGGCCTTGGCCTCCCAAAATGCTGGGGTTATAGGTGTGAACCACTGCACCTGGCTGAGAAGCATTTCATCATTGCACCTGATGTAGCCCCATTCTTCCGAGAATGGGTACCCCGGGGGGTACCCAGCCCCGCTCCCTGTCCAGAGCCCCCGGGCCTCAAACATCCAAGTTTCCAGGAGCTATAAAACCTGGAGACCTTGAACTAGATGTCTCTCCTCAGGCCTAGCACCACTGGGAAGGCCCCCCAGTGGGAGCAACCCTGGTGCAGACAGACCTGGAGATGGACTGCCACAGAGAAGTTTCCAGAAGCTTACAGAACGGGGTGGGGATGGGAGCAGGGGTGATATCTTGATTGGCCCACTGGTCCTGACCTGGCTCCTGTGTTCCCCAGCACCCCATCTCTGGCCTGGAGGTACTAGAGGCTGAGCAGGACAGCCTGCACCTGTGCCTGCTGGGGCTGGGCCGCCGGCTGCAGGACCTGGAGCAAGGCCCGGGGCGCTGGGCATTGGCCCAGAGTGGGATGGTGCAGCTGCAGGTAGGCAGGAGAGGCCAGGATGTGGGGGTGTGCAGGGCCCCAGCAGTGGGTGCCAGCTTTCCG